ACGGCTTCGAGAACGCGCGCTTCTAACGGCGACGATCGACGGAGCTCAGGGTTCTGCGACGACGAGGGAAGCTGTTTTTTTTTTTTTTTGGTTTGGTTTTGTGAATCGGACGTGAAGAAGTTGAAGAAGAAGAAGACCCTGCCGGAGTGCGGCGGTGGACGGACGGACGGCTAGAGGTGCTGCCGCCATTGTTGTTAAAAGAGTAGCCAAGTGAAATACTAGGATCCTCCATGATATTGCTTTTTTCCTTTCCTTCCCTTTCCTTCTTGTTAATTACTCCATGTGTTTTTCCTTAGTAATTATAAGACTTGATTTATTCTTGATTTGAGCTTGTGGTTGATCAGTCAATGGCAATTGGCCCTTGTCCGTGTGTGTATGATTTTATCCATTCCTCTGCTCTCCTCCGAGTTTCTTCTCTGAGGAAGAAGAAGAAGCTCTGCCCCATTCTTTTGTAGCTGCATCCGTCAGAGATGACAACATTCATTGAATCAAAGTTGAGTACACCAAATGCACTATTGTCTGATGGTTGTTCATCATCCATCCATCAGCTCTGCTTTTCTTCTGCCATTACAGTCGCCCAATGTTCACCCTGCTGCACAGCACAGTGAAAATGACCTGGTGGGTGCCGATCACTGAACCTGAACTGCCACACACACACACACACACCATCTTGATCCTGGAGATCCCCTGACCCTGACCTGCACCGAAGTGCTGTGTGTGTGGTTGGGTGAGATGACAATCCAGGGAGGTGATGCTGACTTGGTGAGTGATCCATGCATGACGCATCTTGTGTGTGTGTGTGCTGTGTGTTTGCATTAGGGCATGATAGGATAGGGGTCAAAGATAGATGGATAGATATAGATAGGGGAATGTTTAGGAGCAGTGGAGTGATTGGCTGGAGCAAGAGATGTCCATTGCATACCACATACAGACACACACACACACAGTTACAGTTAAGGATTCACAGTGCGGCTCATCACATCAATTCATTGCAAAGATCATTCCTCCTCCTCTTGCCATTCTTCCTCCTTTGTGCATGCCCTAACAACAGTTTCTTCCTGTTAGGCTTGTCCTGGATGGAGTGGACGGACTCTTGGTTCTGGTTACAGTGGCCACAGTGGCGCCTCTGTTCTCTTCTCCTCTGGCAGGGCATAGCAAAACAGGCAGAGTTTTGCTATGAAAGCCTGAAACACGCAGCAGCTCCTCTTTAGAAACAACATGGTTGAGAGAGACTGTGATGCTGAAAATGCACATTCAGGCTTTCATAGCAAAACTCTGCCTGTTTCATCATCGGTCGGTTACACAGGAGAGAAGGAACCCAACGTACAGTTTACAGGTTTATATTTCTTTCTCTTTTCTCAAGCCTACTTCATTTCAACAAGAGGTTGTAAGCTGGTAGGTCCTGGATCCGCAGGAGGTCCTCCAGAGACAGCTCCCTCTCCAGCTGCGCCTTCGTTGCTTCCAGCACATCCTGGTTGATCCATTCATTCATTCACCCGTTAGCTCATCGTCGTCGTTAGGTTACATATAAACATGGCATCACATGTTGCTTATGCGAAGGAAAGAGTGCTCTTACGTTGAACTGCATGTAGGAGGCGCGCATCGCCAGCCACTGAGCGTCCATCATCTCGAAGGCTATGCAGTACAGGATGTCCAACACGTCCTCGTGCTCTGAAAGGATGTAGCGAGGCGTTAGTGTTTCTCAAAGAATAACAGAGCGATTTGAAACCCAGAGATGAATCATGGCGGGTTTGAGCTCACCGGACAGCATTCTGACGAAGTTAATCCCCGGCAAAGTTTTCGGTCGAGCTGAGCAGCCAGAGTTTAGAAAAGTAATAATTAATAATACATCAATGATAGAAGATTGCGGCATTGACCAATTCTATACGTTAGATGAACCAAGAAAAAACCAGTAGAGCTACTGCCAATTATGAAACCAACAATGATCCAGTAATTGCAGCCAACTACTCGCATTCAAACAGCACATGAACAATCAAGCAAAGCCTTTGTGCAAATCATAGAAATTTTAGAATTATTGGCCATCGGCTCAATGATTCTGGTGAGACCCACCGATGCTGTATGTATGTATACAGGTAATAATAGCAGGGCCACTCTAATCACAGCACAATGAGACTGTTGTTGGCCGTCAGTTAGCAGTTAGCGCCAGCTGTATGTGTGCTTATTGAAATGATTATGGTTAAATGGTCATAATCGAGTTAGAAGATTCCTCATATTTCAAAAATAAAATATCCCTAATGAGGGCCAGCACCAGATCATTCTGGGGTTCTATGCTGATGTAGTGGTTTGACTTGTGTGGATGTAGCACATGGTACATGTACCCTCACCACTAGATTTATTGTCTTCATCAGTACTGATACAGTGCATACAGGCCATATGTAATTATCAGGTTAGATTTTCATACATAGCTATGCATGTACATGGAAAGATCTTTAATCGTGTAGGGTGTATACCTGAATTAAGCTCCAACAGTTGGATCAACATGTGTGAGATGTTAACGCCTGCTGTCGCAAAGGGGTATTCCCATGTGGCTCGCATTCCTTGTGTTTTCAGCAACAATTTCTGGAAAGAAGCCTGCATATGAACCAGGTAATCAGCAACAGCATATAGTGTGTCAGTATGAAGAAGCCGAATACTACTTTTCTCAGCACATGAGTAGTTTAAAATATCGACTTCATTTTGCTTGAAATGGCATACCGGGTATCTTCTTGCGAAGAATAGAAGATTCTCAAGTGACACAAATCCACCGCCCCTGAAAATCAAAATCAGACCGTTTCTAAGCTCTTTGCTTCCACATATGAACAGATAAGCTAGTTAGTGAGCTAAAGAACAGAGAAAACATACTTGTCAAATAGATAGGCAAACTAACCATACAGTTTGAGTGCAGGTTATGATGTACACCCTCTGTAAATACGGAGGGAGTACACTGTTTACGAATAAATACTTGCTCAACTCGATCCTTATTCAAGTTAAATTCAAACTTGGGCAATTCGTAATTTTTGGCTTCGTCTGATGGAGGTTAAGGATCTTATGACTGCTGGCACTGCCAAAGGAGGCTGGTTAACTCGAGGAATGTTAGGTTTCTGGAAGATGATTGGCTGGGTTCTGACTGTACAATCTTACTTTTAGAAACAAGATTCCAGTCTCCAGGGAACAGATCTCTTTTCACTGAACTTCGTTGGGAGGAACTTTTCAATTGTGGGTTCAGTTAAGAGTCTTTTTGCAGCAACACTATACCAGTGGAGGTTAACCGCCAGTGGGAAGTTTTCAGTAGAAATAAGTTCTTCTGGAAAATTAATATTCTTCCAGGGCCAGTTTTTTTCTTTTCCTTTGGCTGGTTTCTTGGAGACTATGACACACAGAGATTGGATGGGTTCAAGGAAATATCTGTTCTGTAGCCACAAAGTGGATATCGACCCTATTTTCTTCTCTTGTCCTCGCACGTTTGGATTCGCGGTACCCATGAACGTCAATTATCTTCTGGGAGCATGGCTGCACTCGTTTGACTGGGACAAAAAGGCATCTGGTCTCGATTGGGTTAGCAGCTGTTTTGTGGACTATTCGAGGAGATTGGAACAATGCATGTTTTGGATGGGCTGATGCCCAATGAACCAACAGCCTTTTTTTGAGAGACTTTATCACTGGTTAAGCTTCTGGGTTTAGGTGTAGAAGTGGAGGACACACACAGTTGACTGTGTCTGGCCTCCAAACTACTTCAGCAGGTTAAGGTTGAGATCTTCAATTGATGACACAAATGGCAACCCACAGTGCAAAGACTTCAGGAATGAATGTTAAACATAGATGTAGTCTGCTCACTAAGTTGTTTGAAACTTACTCCAGCCATACTGATGCAATTATTAACTATACTGGGGTGTTTACTTCTACGTACTGAACTTTGTAGTGTTGGTTTCCTATAATGGATATCAAAGGCCAACCCCCTTTTTTCTCAAAGTTAAAAAAAGAAATCATACAATTAGAACAAGAAGTACCTGAAATCAGTTGCAGGATTTGGGCCCTGCCACCCCATATCTTTCCACTGTTCGGAAACTAAGCTCGTGAGCTCTGTATCGGGAAAGGAAACTTTCCAAAGAGCCTTCAGGGATGTCTACAACCACAGTCCGAAACAAATACAGTGGAGATGCAATCATCAATTGGAAGTCGGTATGGTAGAAATGGGAAAATAACTAACCAACTGGGTGTAAGTTTTGTTTATTGCATTTCATACCAGATGATCCGGTCGGGTCTCGTCAAAAGGTATGTTTAGTCTGTCCTTTAATTTTTGCATCCTTTGTTCCTGAGTAGTTAAAAGAAGCTTGGTTCAGTTGCAAAAAAAACAAGGGAAGGCATTTTGCAGACATGTACGATCGCCGTCAATAGATCATATCAGAAAAGAAGAGATCATCCAAATCCTTGTAAAGTTAACTAGCCAGATACTGTATTTGTTACTTTAGATGACAACCAACACTTCTACTACAGAAAAATCAAATCGTGATTTTTTGGGGGAGAATATGGTTGAAATATAGTGTGTGTTTTTGCTTGCGAATCCTAATACAACTTTACCTGAAGAGGGGTCATTTCAAAGTTCCTCTCGGCATGGACTTGACGCTTTTTACCTGAGCCAGTGAAAAGCCCTCCAAACCATGTCCTATTTCCGACCATAGCATTAACTGCAGTCAGGTTATCAGAAAACTAAGTCATTAGCAATGAAATGTCTCTCTCAGAGAAGCATAACACATATGCTAGGTTTATTGAATGCACAACTGACAACAAGGAAAACCTACAGAAAAAATATGAATAAAAAATTCCCAAATAAGTTTGATCAAATTGACAAGGCATTCAGGGAGCATGAATTAGGATTTTGCTCCCCATCAATGCCTATGATGTTCACAATGCCAATGAGTTCCGTTAAAAAATTAATGCTAACGAGTCCAAATAAAAGAAATAGGGAAAACAACGGCATCCATGTCATGTCAAATATGTAGAATTCTAAGTTGCAACATTGATGTGTCTAATATTCTGGAATCAGATAGAGTTTCTGACCGTTTGTACAGAAGAAAAAAATGATTCTGTCATTTCCAGCGGTGTTATGGTATGCAACAAAACATCAACAAGGATACTACCTTCTTGAGGTTTCTGGCCTAGAACACGTGTAAAAGAGGCAACCTATGATGTGCAACTACCTTGTGGTGGAATCACATAACTAATTTCTGGTTTGCTCGCCAGATTGACATAAGAATTCCCAAAATATTCTACGTGTACTTCAGTATACAATAATGTGTTGCCGACTTAAAGTTCAAATTACTTGTACATTTAAGAAGCCAAATTGTAGAAATATCTGACAAATAAAATGTAGAAATATGTAGCAAGCAAGAACAAATATATAAATATTGGTGAGAAGGCTCTTGAGAGAATTAATCACCCTTGGCAGCAGTTGCCATATTTGGCTTCGGAGTGGATGCATTTTTCGCAGGTTGCACCCCAAAAGGTTCAGATGGAGAAGTTTCCTTCTACATGATGTACAGTTATATAGAGTTACAGATTGTCAAACAGATAGCGAGGACACTGCATGTCCGGTGTACATGTAAATAATTCATACATACTTTGATCATTATTTTGTTTTCTGCTAGTAGGGCCTTCGCTTGCTGTATTCCCTTCAAAAAGAGAGAAAAAAAGAGGATAAGTTAATAATCACATCGCACAGAGCTTATTTCTTTGGGTAATTTCTAAAAAATTGACATTCAAAAGTAAAATCAAAGCACAAAAGATAACTCCAATGAATAAATTATAATGCACGGGCTTCTAGCTTAGTACTCGGAGAGAGGATGTTCACCCCCACCCACCCATGATCAACATAGTGTGCCATATTTATCGCAACTACACGGATGCCTGCACAATCCGGTGCTAGAAGAATGCGGCGGTGCTACATGAGTCTCCCACGACGTGTACATGTATGTGTGATACACCATAAAAATGCAGGACTATGATGCTGACTTGGTGCCTGAACCAGAGGTCGACTGCGCACTTTTTGGAGCAAAGAGCCGCACAAATTCCAAAGATATACAACCATAAACACAATTTTAAGCATTTCAATTTTGTATTGTGATTCGACACTTCTGACTGGACTTTCTATGCTCTGAAGTTCTGAAAACTGTCAGCAAAATGCAATCCAGGGCAACATTGTCCAAAAAGAATGAATTTCTTGTACCAGGAACTAACATAAGCAGAGATGGATAACGTATACGTATATAACAGCATCGTGAAATTCTACCAAGAGAAAAACAGATCGGCTCTGCTGCACATATGGGACATGATGCATTCAGAGATCGCGAATGTTGCACTACCAATCTTGATTAGAAACTGCAGAAGTGCTACCTGCTGGGATTGGAGCTGGAACGGAATGCCCATCAAAGAAGAGGGAGCTATGGCGCTGGCTCCTCCGGCCCCCTCTCGCCCGCCGCCGCCCCTCCCCGTCGTCCTCCTCGCCCGACCCTCCCCGACGCGCGCGCTAGGAGAAGGCAGTCAGCGGTGTCTGGACGCCCGCGCATCAGCGGGGGGAATCGCCGCCTCTTGCGCGCGGCGCCCTCCCGCCGCCGGCCAAAGAATCACTCTTTTCCGACCGCTTGTCCTTGCCCTTGCCGCGGGACAAGGGAGACGGATTGAGGGAGGTTGGGAGGGAGGGAGGGAGGGAGGAAGAGGAGGAAGGAAGAATTGGAAATAGGGTTTCCAATCCGGCCGCCTCCTCCTTCCTTCCTTTGGTTCGGTTTAGATTGGAGCTTCCAGCGGGGAGAGAGGGACGGGCTGGTGATGGTATTTGTGCCCGCAAATCCTGGCCCTGCCTCCTTCGCCTCTCTGGACGGATGGCGTTTTGGGAATAGCCGCCGCCGATCTCGCCCCACCATCCGTTCCCTCCCCTCCCCTCCCTCCGTTCGTGCTCGCCTCGTTGCGTTGGTTGCGGTGGAGTGGAGGAGTGGAGGAGGCGTCCGGCGACGTGGGGAGGAAGAAGCTGACGTCATCGCCGATGATGTGTGCTTGGGCTAGGCCTCTTGGTAATGCAATGGGAGCTGGGGCTTTTGGGCTGCGTTACATTATCTAGCCCATCATTAATCTCGACAGTCCACAAGAGGCCCAACATTACAACCGTACGCACACCCTTTTTTTTTGTTCTAAAAACCCCCCTTATTTTATAGGCAAACCAAAAGCTTCATAATTTTTGGTGAATGCGGTGTCTTCAGTCCACGAGGATATTTTGGTGAACTTGTTTGCAAACGTGGGGCAGGAGCGACACGTTTGATCCTTCAAGCATGGAACAATGTGGGAAATGCACGATGGTCTACACAATCTTATTGCTTCTTCTTGGAACTGCAAACAAGAGAGCCTCTCAGTTAGTGGTATTAATGGAAAACTTTTGTCACCGGCATCTTTGCCATCGGCGTGGGACAGAGACACGTTTGTTCATGTCAGAAACGAGACTCGTAAATTCAAAAAAGATTTTGAAATTTTGAGGAATATTCTGGGAAGAGTAGTTCTCACTTGGGAAGAAGCAACAATAAGTGAACGATTGGCTTAATTGTTCCACAAGGAGGAGATGATGCAACGACAATGAACTAGGGTTGACTGGCCAAGAGACGGGGATAAAAACTCCAAGTTTTTACACCTCAGAGTGACTAGACACAGAAAAAAATTCATCCCTGGTTATGGATGTTGGGAGGTGACGGAGGATGTTAGAGTTGGAGGGGATGGCAATGGCGACATAATTCTAGAGCAACCTCTATTCGGCGAAGAGGGTGTCCAATACAGACGAAGCATTTGCAGACAATCCCATGCAAGATCACTCGAGAGATGCACAATAAGTTGATGGCTCCATACTCGGCTGAGGAGGTAAAGCGGGCTTTATTTTAGATGTTTCCCACAAAAGCCCCGAGCTACGATGGTTTCTCAACAAATTATTTTCAACAACATTGGGAAATATGTGGAAGTGAAGTTACAAAGATAGTGCTTCGGATTGTGGAGGGAGTTGAGAGTGCAACAAAGATCATGAAAACTATTTTAGTACTAATTTCCAAGGTAAAAAAATTTGATGTTGCTTGCTATTTTTCCCTATTTGTCTGTGTTATGTGCTATACGAGATTGCCTCAAAATTCACTGCCAATCATTTGAAAGTCGTTCCCAGTGCACCGAGGACTAGACTTAATGAACACACAAAAGGTTTATGTGGTTGGTTTAGGGTTGCGGGAACATGTAGAGATCGAGGATCGCACTTTAGATGGAGATCGGACCTGGAGGAGGACGGTATGGAAGCTCTCCTACTAACGAGACCTAGGGCACATTGGATCACCTCTGAATCTCCCATGTACCAATTCCATGAAAAAAAATAATGAAAGGTGACTTCTATTTATTTAACAAAATAATAAAAAGCTTAAAGTAACTTTTTGTGAAAGAACAAAAAAGGGAAGAGGATAAAAAATAACTGAATGTTTATTAGGCCAGCCCACGTTGGGTGAATAGGTGGGTGACGAGTCGCTACTTCCGACCGAGTTATCATGGTTTTGGTATTTGGATGGCATCCTACGCTCAACCGATTTTTCCTATGTTTTTTTGCCGGTTTTCATTCTATTTTATCATTGTCTACTTTTATTTTCTTTTTAATTTCTGGAATTCTTTTTAAATTCAGGAACATTTTTTAATTCTTGAATAATTTTTGAATTTTAGTAACATTTTTTGAATTCATGAAACATTTAAAAAATAATGTTCATTTTTTCAATTTGTGAATATTTTAAAATTTTGGAAACATTTTGTAAGATCTATGAAGATTTTTTCAGATTCCACGCACATTTTTATAATTTATGGACATTTTCTGAAATTAATGTACTTGGTAAATTCCTGAATATATTTTAAAATTCTAAAAGCATTTAAATAAAAACCAATAAAAATGCAAGGACATACACATGACTTGCTATCTTGCAGATCCCGTAGGGGGCCAGCCACTTTGCTATCACACGATGGGTAGGTGAGCGTATTGTTGCCTCCCTGAGCACTATCCGCGGACTATGAGGTCATGAGTGCTATATCTCGTTTATAGCGACATATACGCTATGCTCACCTAAAGAAACCCCCTCATGCTTCATTATGAGCCGGCCCCTTCCGCAGGCACTCTTCTCTTCTCCCCGCTCCCTCGAGACGATCGCTATATTGGTTTGGTTTTTCGTTCGGTTTTGTTTGGGCTTTGCTCCTTTTTATTTTTTTCTTTCTGTTTTCTTCATTTCTTAATGTTTTTTTGTTTTCTTTACTCTTTTACCCATTTTTGTTTCTTTTCTTGGTATTCATTGTGTCTTTTTCCGGTTTTTCTTTCCTTTCACGGGTTTGACTGGCTTCTTTCTTTCTTTCTTTCTTTCTTTTTTCATCGGTTGTTTCATTTTTTGGGTTTCTTCATTTTTTTTTCTTCATTTCATTCCTGGTTTTCGTTGTTTTCATTCTTTTTCGTTGATTTTCAGTGTTTTCTTTTTCTTTTTTGGAATTAGATGGTTCTTCGTTTCTTTGTTGGGTTTTCATCGGTTATTTATTTGTTCAACACGTGTCATTTCTTTCTTCAGTACACAATGTCCATTTTCTGTACACGTGATTTTGCTGTTGATATATGTTGAATAATTTTTTTAAATAAACGATGTATATATTTACTTAAATACATGTTTTGAACACTTTTTTAATACATGGCAAATATTTTTCAAATACACGATGAACAGTTTTTAAATGACAAGAATTTTTTTCACACACAATGTACATGTTTTGTATACATCAGGAACATTTTTAAAGATAAAATTATATCAATATGTTTTTTGATGTCTACTTTTATTTAATGCATGTTGTACATTTTTCATAAACACCGGGAAAAAAATTTCATACGCGTTTAACACTTTTTAAATACATGATCAATATTTTTTCATACACATTGTATTTTTTGTATACATTTTTCGGATACATGACAAACATTTTTTCTATATGCATTTAGTCCTTCCAGCATGCTTGATTAGCATTTACACCTCGGTAATTTTTTAAATGCTTCATTAATTTTGCTAAATACTTGATTAATATTTTTCAAATGCTTGATTAGTATTTTTAAGTACATGATCAACTTTTTTCAAACATACTGTATATATTTTTATACACGTGAAACAATTTGCTATACACATTTGACATTTTCAAGTCAATGATTAATATTTTTTCAAATGTTTTATGTAAAGTGTTTTTTGTAATATACTCCCTCCATCCCATAATGTAAGACGTTTTATACATTATGGGACGGATGGAGTATATATTTAGAATACTTTGAAGTAGAAACAAAAGTAAAGAAAGAAAGCAAAAAGCAAAAACAAAAAAACATAAAAAACAAGATTGTGGCCTCCCACGCGCTTTGCCGGTCCAGCCTTGCGCTCGCCCAGGAGATGCTTCCCTACGTGTCGCTATTGGCGAGATATAGACGGGCCCTATGAGGTCCTCCAAGATATATAGCGCATGCATATCGATGTTTGGTGGAACTGTAAGCTTTTAAGTTTTGTGGCCTTTTGGCGCAAACAGATTTGTCACTTCACACTGCGGTCACTAAACCCATTGAGAAATACTTCCTCTGTACGCAAATGTAAGACGTTTTAGGTCACGTTTGTTTACAGAGGTAGTAACAATTATTTGTTTGTATGTGTCATCTTCTTTTCGCCAAAAAAAAGTGTTATCTTCTTATTATCTCTTCCTACTTTGGGAGCAGTCAACCACAGACCTTTCTCCTTTCTGGCAAAGAGAAAAGGTAGATTGGTATTGTTATTTTTGGGAGTAGTTGATGCCATGCAGATGTCATCATGACAAGGGCTGCGTGTCAATGGCCCCGCTTGTCTACTACCAGCCACCAAAACGATAAGATGCAAATTAGTTGCTCCCATTGGCAAGGCAAAAAGGCAACGAAAGAGCCATTCCAGCTAGCATGTGATGCCGATCGATCGCATGCAAATGGCGCACCAACTTTTTTGGGTGTGATTTCCTCTGTCTAATTGAATTTGGTGCTGGTGCATAGTCCAGTTAGTGTCTGCAGCTGCACCCTTGATTTGCATGATCAATGAAATATATGCAAAATAAGTAAATAGGAGTAACACATTTTACAAGAAGAATGGACAAAAAGATCGACATCGAAGGACTTGCTAGTATTGGGTTGGTTATCTCACTTTCACTTCTCTAATTGTTGACCTCACAACTCATGCAAAGAGACCCATCGATGGCAACTGGTCAGAAGTGACGCCATACCAAGCATGTTCATGTCCACTGGAAGTCGACTCGGCACCAATCGCACATACGATCTCGGTGTCCCGCAAGCTAGGTTTCTGCTCCAACAACTCCCAATCTGTGGCCGTGAGCGAGCTTGA